GCTGAGTTGTTACCTAAACCAATGCAGCCAAACGTTATTCCACAGCAGATGAGCCAATCAGCTACAAAGAAGAAAAGAGCTCGCCATGCCAAGAGACCTGGATATGCCAGACAGCCTGACAGTAAAGGGTAAATTCAAGTTTTATTTCATGTTTTTCTCATGGTGTTGTAAGAAGAAAAAGTGGAAGCACTAATACTGGTAATTTTAGTGGTAGTGGAGGTAGCAATAGTACTGGGAGTGGTTTAGCAATAGCAGTATCAATTGCAGCAACAGTAACAGGTGCAGTAGCAATGTTGGTAGCAGCAGCAGTAGAAGTAGTAGCGGCAGCAGTAGTAGCAGTAGAAGCAGTAGAAGCAGCAGTAGAGGTAGTAGCAGCAGCAGTAGAAGTAGTAGCGGCAGCAGTAGTAGCGGCAGCAGTAGTAGCAGTAGAAGCAGTACTTAGTAGTAGTTGTAGCTGTAATGGTAGACAATGGTATTCATTTTCACCTTAATTAAAGTTATTCATTATCTTGTATTTTAAGGGAACCTAGTGAGCCAAGTGACATTACTGCTGAGGCAACAGTTGGTGAAACTAAGCAGGAATCCAAGGTGGAAGAAGGTATTTTTTACTTACTTATAGCTACAATGTTGATTATATACTAGTTAAGGAAATGTATATCTGGGTGTTCACAGGTGTTCTTTAAGGTAGGCCCAGTATTCACTTGACATACAATCCTTTCTGCTTTTTCCTTGGCATGAGGTGCTGAGGAATATTGACACTTCTCCTTGTCCAGTGTAGCTTACTCCTTAGCATTTATTGAAGGAAACGTCCAATTAAGAACAGGTTGCCGTTGATACAATAAAAAGTACTTGTATAATGAAGATTCCTTTGAATGATTGGGACACAAGAACTGAAATGTGTAAAAAGCTTCAAACAATTACAAGCAATTTTAATGTATGTGTTCCTCAAGGTTATACAGTTGCCACTTTTATCATCAGTCAATAATTCTTTTGTTTACATGAATCCTATGAGAATCTTGCATGGTGACACACACACAAAATTCCAGTTTGAAAAAAGCTGATATGTAGCTGTTTTGATTTTTCTTTCACTACCTTAAGTACTTTCTTTCTTTTTTTTTTTTAAGATAAAATTTTAACTTTAAAAAGTATTATTTATGAATGTAAGAGCAATTAGCTCCGCAAGTGGAGGTATCTCTTAAACCTTTCCCTCTCTTTAGTGACCGAGGCAGAATTTCTCCTTAAAATATCAATAGGACATCAAGCAGACAAGTAATGAGAATTAAGAAATTGGAAATCTCAATTTTGGAATTATTAGTTGATCCAGTACCAAATTCTCCAAACCAACATCATTAAAGTTGTATGTTAGACTGTAACTGGAGAGTTTCTAATCAGATCTTGAGAATAAAAGAGTAAGGTACCCTTGACAGTTTTCTGAAGTCCTTGACGTTGTTTTGTATGTGATGAATGTGTGTGTGTGTTGTGTGTGTTGTGTGTGTTATATCTGACCCAAATAATTACATTAGATAAATCACCTAAGTATAGCTGCCCTTTTTTTCTGGCCCCTATGGTTATTTGGGGCAGCTAGTACTCCTCTTTATTACATGACTCGGGCAGTCAGAGGGCCAATAACTAAAATCAACCAATCAAAATGCTCTATTGCCAGTCCAATATTCTCTCAGTATTGGACCGGGCACTGTCCCGAATGGTCCCCAATGATACCGCACTTGTGTCCCTTTGAACTTTAGTCATATAATAAATCTCTTATTAACCAAGCTTGCTCGGGATCGTACTGGGAGAATATTGGCCCTCTGTCTTTTTGTATAGACCTCGCTGCGCTTGGTCTGTACTGTCAAGACCTCGGGCCGATATTCTCCCAATACGGCCCTCACGCTTGGTTAATAAGATATATATATTCTTGTCAATTTATCAGTATTTTTATCAGTATTTTTTATGTTGGGTACAAATAAAGTTGTTGTTGTTGTTGTTGTGGTGTCTTGGTGAAGAAAGGAACTTTGAGTGTTCAGTCTCTTACTCAAGAAAGCAACAAAGTAAGTTGGCTTGGGCTTGAATAGACACCTATTGATCCAGAGTCCAGCAAACAGGCCACCTTTCCTCCCATTCCTTTAATCATATGCTTGCCACTTCTTAGATCAAACAGGAGCCGCAAGAGTCACAAAACCTGATGAAGTGAGTAGTGAGCCTTCCACGCCCTTGTACTCCATTGGAACTCCATCATCCTCAGATGAAAATTTGTTTAAAGAGATGAAGGTCAATATCACTGAAGAAAACATTATAGAAACGCTTAGCAGAGGATCCTTAAAAGACTTGGATTTGAGTAAATCAACTCCACCCCAGGGTGACAAAATTATTGAACAAATCTCAATTGATGCTTCAAGTGAACACTCGGAAACTGCATCTAAATCTTCTTGCATGGAGATACAGGACAAAACCTTGGAGGTGCCAAATGACAGAAAGAGTTTAGAAAGAGATGAAAGTATTTTTGAAAGTGAGAAATATTGGGATTTAAATGAGGATCTTTCTGAAGCATTAGACATTAGGATCAATGATGGCTTTGCTGGGGAAACCTGTCTAAACAGTGCTGTGGAAAGTGAAATACTATCTTTACATTTTACCCCTGGATCAAATGAACAACTTGAACAAAGTGTGGAGGTAGACCTTGTGCAAGAAAGACTCACTTCAGATCAGGAAAAGGGTAACCCCAAGGAACCTCTGAAGAAGCTAAACAATGTGCTGATGCATTTGAAACTTCAAATCACAAGTCTAAGGTATTCTGAGAGGTTCTGGGATATCTTGTATTGGCAGTATCCAGATAGAGTATGTGGAAACAACTTAGTGTGAACCTGTGTAAGAAATAATGTTTAACCCATTAATGGCCACAGCTTCTGTGAAAAACTGTGTTTTGAAGCTAGTCGAGCAGATTTCGGGTCACTGTTGTGGTTTTAAAAGCTCAAACTTACCAAAAACCCATTGACAGCTCGTACACTTGACGGTCTTTTGATCCAAATGCAAAATGGCGGCCTGAAAATCTCGGGTACACGCAGAAAGCAAAATTTAGAGATTTGGGTTGAAAAGTAATGCCCCACTTACGACTTTTACTTTTTTCTCTTTCTCCTGCCCTTTTTTTACCCTCTCCTTGCCTGAAGTTTCTCCTCACTTGCTGGAAATTTAGTAGGCTTCATTTTGGTGTAGAGACTTTTTAGGAAACTACTCATTATTTTCAAACCACATGCTCAGAAAGGTAGGTGGGTAATGGAACAACATACGGGCGCACTGGATGTCAATAGGTTAATTAAATAATTATTTCACAATTCCAATCCCCTTCACTCAATTGCGCTCATTCTGGTATCGTTTGTAAGATATTTTCAACCTGTTCAAGTACGTGCTCAAAGTCATGCGCCAGGGTTAAAAGTGATGACATCACAAGGTGTAGAAAGGGTGTGGGTCCACATGGGCGCATACGGGCGCACTGGACGTCAATAGGTTAATTCAATCCTTGATGCGACACTACCATTCATATTAATAGTAACTTTTAAGCCAAAAAATGGGATGATCATATGGGGTATTATTACTTTTTACACTTTTTCTAGAGTTATCAAAGAGCCACTGCATGGTGTGTCAAACTCTTTCTAATAACTCTTTACACCCAAATATTGGCATGGATATTCTCCCTACAGTTCTCCACAGTCCTAAGGTGTGCTGACAAGGGAGAATTTGTTTATTAGTCAAGAGCATCTTTGTTGGAGGTCAATTCCTTTATTCTCGTGACCTCGATGTGTGATTTAGGAGTGAAACTGTCAGCAGGAATTAGATTCGCAATGTAGTAGTCACTCTTGGGGGTCAAATGGTGAACTCCCAGGATTGATCATGAAGTAATTTCTCCAAACAATATCAATAGGCTATCAAGCAGGCTGGTGATGAGAATAGAGATTATTATTCATTGCAAAACCAAATTCCTAGAGCTCAAAACTGCAAGAAATGTGTAGAAAAAGGTAAGGAGAATATTATTGAAATCTTGGAATTGAACGGGTTAAATGAAACCTTGACCAATTTTATTAAATATTTATAAAGAGTTTGATCTCAAGGAAAGTTGTAGTCAGAGACAGCTTTTGAGTGGAAGACAAGAAAGTAAAAAAAAAAAACTTCTCGTATCATTTTTTTCTTGATCAGTAAAGACAAAAGGTGTTTAACTAGCCTTGAAGAGGAGTTGTTGAAGGTATACACAGAGTCTTGCAATGTGAAGAATGAAAAAGAACAAGAGTTCAAAAGACTTCAGGTGGAAGAAACCCAGGCCCTAGCCAGTGACAATTATGACCTGGCAGAAGAGATCAGTGACAGAATGGAACAACTCAAACAAGATTTGCAATCTGTTAAGTATAGGCTCCCTGGTCAAGATGATAAGGTGAGAAAAAACGGTTACTTCAAATGCTTTGGTAGCCTGCAGGGAACGCCTGGCCTTCTCTCCTCTCCCCCTCCCCCCCAATTCCTAATTTTTTGCCTCGCTTCATTTTCGCGTGGTCTAATTTTCACCCAAACTTTACTAGAACGCCTGCTCTGCATGCTAATGCTTCGGCTTTTTCAATTCTTCCTCATTCAAACTGCCAGTAACTATCATATGATAGACTTTGCTGTTTGCCAGAACCACTCTTCAGTTCCTGAAGCAGATTTTTCTTTGGAAGTGTTATGTGAACCGTCCACTCTTTGCCTTTATCTTTCCCTCTCCTCCTCTCTCTCTCTCCTCTCATCTTGTTTCCCTTACCCTCCTTACCCTCCCTACCCTTCCCCCTCCTTTTTGTCACATCATCCCATCACATCACTTGCCCTTCCTTCAACTATTTATCAAATCAGACCCTATCTTCACAGGTTAAAAAAGCATTGAAACTGAGAGCTGAAATATCACACAGAGAAGTTGAGATTTACCGTCAAAATCAAACAGCACTGGAAGAATTGAAAGAAGAACAAAAACAGTGTTTGGTCAGGCATACAGATACACAGGCTACCTGGAGCGCCAAGGAAAAACAGCATCTTAACTCTGAGCGGCAGAGATTGGAAAGAACAATGGACCATCTGAGGCTTGACAAGGAGCATATGGAGGCAGAGGGTGTGGAATTAAGTAGAGAAATTCTGCTTAAAACTGAGGAGTTCCAAAAAAGAAAGGAAGAGTTGCTTTTAGAGAGAGGAGATTTGCAGGTCAGTCTTGAAAAAATTGAAAAAAAGTGCAGAGAGAAGAATGGTTGTTATCTTTGGTCCCAAAAATTTTTAAAGCCTCTGAAGATGATTTTCAATAGTATAGGGTATTGTTTCAACCCACCATGTTCCATACATTAGATGGACATTTCTTCTCTTCTTAATTCTGAAAAAGCTTCAACTTTTGTTTGTTTTAGTTTTCATTGAATTCAACATAGCCCTTACAAGCACTATGAAAAAAAAGTATTGCGTATGTGAAGCTTCCTACAAATTCATTTTTGAAATAGGCTTGAGAGAGCAAAATTATCTGGAAAAATATGATTATGATCATAGGAATGAATGATATCAGTTACGCTTTGATGCCAATATTATGAACTTTGGTCCACAATACTTACCCCCTTCACATTTTTATAGCCTACGGGAGCATAAACTCTTTGTTGTGTTCACTTGAGGAAGATAAGATGATAGTGCAGAGGTTAGCATGTAAAAGAAGTATGTTAAAGTAAAGAATATCTCAATTTGTAATCTAAAATCCTTGGAATATTTTAGGCAGAAATTTCATCGCTAGAGGCTAAGCTGGCCAAGTTAAGAGCAAAAGAATCAGAGCTAACAGCTTTCATTAAAGAGCACGATGATGAAATAGAATCTGTCAAGTTGGAATTCAGCCCACAGCAACAAGCCCTTGATAAACAGCAACGAGAAATAGAGAGAAGAGAGAACTCACTTCAGGAAGAATTTGTGAGTGAACTCTTTACAGCTTAACATCAGCATACATATTCTCCATACTGTTCTCTATACATTTCCAAAGGTGCTGACAAGGAGAATTTGTTTAACAATTATGAGCTTCTTTAGTTGGTGATCATTTCCTTTATTATTAAAAGCTAGTCACTTTTAGTGGTTAAAGGGTTAAAAAAGCATAGGCGTGCCTGTTAGACTTAAACATATCCTTAAGTGCATAACCACATATATTAATAAGTTACATAGACCTGGCCTCATCATTGTGTTGAAGAAGTTATCAGTATGTTATGCAGTTTCATCATGCCTGAAATTGGTCTGAAACTCTCACACTGAAAATCAACAGAGGCTGTTGTCATCTAGTCAAGAACTATTTGATGCCAAAGCAGAGGAGAGTCAGAGAAAAGAGCAAGGGTAGGACCAAAGACCAGTCCTGATTATCTATACATATTTTTGTTTGTTTGTTTTTTAGGGGGGAGAGGGGGTGGGAGGAGGGGTTGGGAGGAGAGAATGGGAGGCATAAGGAGGTGGGAGGAGGGGATGGGAGGCATAAGGGGGGTGGGAGGAGGGATGGGAGGCATAAGGGGGTGGGAGGAGGGATGGGAGGCATAAGGGGGTGGGAGGAGGGATGGGAGGCATAAGGGGGGTGGGAGGAGGGATGGGAGGCATAAGGGGGTGGGAGGAGGGATGGGAGGCATAAGGGGGGTGGGAGGAGGGATGGGAGGCATAAGTGTGGAATGTCACTTAATACTTTCCTCTTCTTCTCACAGTAAACTAAGTTTTTATTCCCCAATATTTTATTTCACAGTTTGTCTGATGGTATAACTGCAGCTTCAGAGGAGCTGGAAAAATACGAAAAGCTAATCAAACAGCTAGAAAGGCAGCAGGAGTCTGCTCAAGAATTTCTAAATATGAAGCATTTTACTTTTCAAATGGATCCTAAAGTAACAAGGTATTCAATGTATCATTATGTTTGGTATGACTTGCCCCCTTTTTCCTCACCCTTCCCTGTGTGCGTGCGTGTGTGTGTGCGCGTGCGCGTGTGTAATACTGGAGAGAGGGAACATTCATCATTTCTCTAATCACTCAAGAGAGGGTCTGTGCGAGCGCAAACGTTTAAATCGTAAGATGGCAGGCTTTGGGGCTGTCATAACCGAGTTGTCTCACAGGAGTTGAAAGAACTTCAAAAAATTGCAAATCTACAGGATACAGAAGATGGGGGAGGGAAGGGTAGCCTGTGATGACGGACTGGAAGCCCATCTTTCATATTAACTTCGTGTCACAGTAACCTCAATAAGCTCTTGTGGTGTGGTACTTTGGTGTGGTATTCCTGTGAAGTGTTCACCCATATTTACCAACCATACGCAATGAGGACCATTTTTGTTAACATTAGGATCAGTCTATTTGGGATAAGTGTAACTCAAGCTTTAGGCTGTTAATTCTTGTAATACATTTGTAGTCTTCAAGTCAAACACAAGGAAGTGGCCCAGGAAATAAAAAATATCACAAACAAGATCCAGGTGGGACAAAGAGGCGTGGCTACCCTTAGAAAGACCGTAAATGAAATCGAGTCCCAGATCTCTGATCTGGACGCAGCTAAAGAAATAGCGAAGAAAGGTAACGAAGATGTACCTACGTATGATGCACGATCCTCACAGTAGAGAGCGCTATTTATGCAATAGCGAAAATCAGACCTGAAAAAAATCAGGCCTGTACGGGATTCGAACCACTGACCTCTGCGATACTAGTGCAGTGCTCTCCCAATTGAGCTAACAAGCCAACTGGGAGCAGGCCGTTAAGTTGATTCGTAATAAACCTGTGCGTTACGGTATACAGTCGAATTTGCACCGTTTTAGGCGGTCACCCTGTATTTAGCGGTCGGTTGTCAAAGTCCTGAATTTGTTTCCCCTTAATCACTGTAATTTTCGAGAGAGTGTCGCGAATTTCTGGACCAATCTCAAAGCAAAGCAAAGCAAAACCAATGCAATCCTGCCAAACATTTTGCCAATGTTAAGTACTTGATGTGTAAAAAAGTCACCACACAAGAACAACTTATATTCCTTTTTATCGATTAGACAGAAATTTTAAGGAGGCTAAACGGCTGAAAGAAGAAAGAGAAACTTTGACACAAGAGGGAGTTGAAAGCCAAGAAAAATTAGAATCTTTGCTGAAGGGACTTGCAGAAGATGGGAAGTTGTTGGAGGAGGCGCAACAACAGAACGTGGACTTGGAGAAAGAGATCAATGATAAAGAGCGTCTTGCGGGTACAATTTTGGTTGTCTCTCATTTTCTCCTCGTTAAACCCTTACGAGCTTTTTTTCTATTCTTAGCCGATTACGTTTGAAGGATTTTTTTCTGTGTTTCTCATCTTCAACCAAAAATTGAACCCGCCTTCGTCACTTTGTGTTGGTTGGCATATAGGGGATTGGAATCTTGTATATCGAGGCGTGGGAGGGGAAGGTGATCTTTCAGTGGCTTTCTCTCGTATTTGGTCGGCTAAATTTATACCCTGGTAAACAGCAGCTCGTTGTGGATCTCCGACTACAGCTGATTCAAGAATCTATCTTATTAACCAAGCGCGAGGGCCGTACTGGGAGAATATCGGCCCGAGGTCTTGACAGTACGGACCGAGCGCAGCGAGGTCCGTACAAAAAAGACCGAGGGCCGATATTCTTCCAGTACGGTCCCGAACAAGCTTGGTTAATAAGAGATTTATTATACAACTGAAGTTCAAAGGGACACAAGTGCGGTATTTTTCGGGACCATTCGGGACCATTCGGGACAGTGCCCGGTCCAATACTGAGAGAATATTCACCGGCAATAGAGCATTTTGATTGGTTGATTTTAGTTATTGGCCCTCTGACTGCCCGAGTCGTGTAATAAAAAATGATATTAACTGCTTACTCCTTTCAACAGCTAAGCTAAAAATTACTCCAGCTTTTCAAGAATGTTCGTATGTGCCCTTTTATCTGAGTTTTTTGTTTGTTTGTTTGTTTGTTTTTAGCTGTGGTTACTGTAGAGGAAGCATCCGTTATGATTCAAGTCCTCCATGAACAAATGAAGAGGTAAACTAGTAATTGGACCAAGTGTGTCCTGTATTTTGCGATAACTTCATTTTTTTTTTCAATCATGGCTGGTTGATTTGATGTCTTGTAATGTCATTTATTTTACAGAGTCGGTGAGGACAGTCTGATCAAGGCTTTGCTTGAGACCGAAGCTATCACATGTAAAGTAAGTATACATTGTGCACGGTTAAAAAATAGTGTTAAGTGACCAGTGATTTTTGCTAATCCTTCAGGCCCCGGTCGTTCAAAGGGTGGAGAACGCTATCTATGGATAAATTTCTCTCCATTGGATAGTGCAGTACGTTTTGTTAACACCTATCCGCTGAATAGCGATTTTACCTTTGGACAGAGTTATCCAATCTTTGAACGACCGGGCCCTGGAATAGATTGCAAGGCCATCACAATTCGTTTCTCCCCTCCCTTCTGCTATAGCCTATTTTTTTCAGGGTTATCTTTACTCCTGAACGGAGAAAGGCGCTGTTAAAGTATAGTGTCAAGCCAAATAACAAAGTATGATGACCAGTGGCCAAGGCTTGAACCCAAATCTCTATGGGTAGAGTCCAGGCCACCCCGCTCCATGTTATTGTTTAAGACGAAATAATGTAGAGTTCAGACCACCGCATTTTAGAATAGTGCACATTAACGACGATACAAACAAAGCCTGTGTAAATAGTGACTTGAATACAAGGTGGTCAGACTTGTGTAACTGGCGCGACAGCACGAAAGTGGCTCTTTCATAGCTTAGTCGATCAGCTAGTTTTTATTCGCGATCGAAATTTGTAGCTTGACCATGACCAATTTCTCTTGGCTGTGTTAGAACTTGATATCAGAGTTGTGTGAAAAGCACGGCATTCCGATACCTGAGGTGAATGACTCAGACGATAGAGATCAACGGGAGATCATCATAGTGGAGGTAACCTAGCTTTATCAACGCTCTTCTCACGATCGATTGTGGTAAAACCAGAACCAAACTGATTACAACAGCCAATCAGAAGAAAGGAAAATACCTTAAAGAGCCAATGAGAAATAAAAAAACAACCAATTTACTTAAAGCGCGGGAAAACGTGGGTGACCAAGTCGTGATTGGTTTTAATCTAGCATTTGATTGGCTTAGAGTTTGATTGGCGCGAGTTTACACGACCAATCACAGAGAGAAGTAAAGGAAACTACTTTCGATACCATTGAAAATTGTTCAATGATTGCAACCGAATTCGGTCATCGTACACCATAATAACTACTCTTTTTTTTCTCGCGTACCACGATAATGTGTGAAACCTCGTTCAGAGGTTGCTAATTATTATTAAAAGGTTTTTTACCTTAAGAGAATTTGACCATCTTTTATTCGGAGGAATCCGTTTCTGAGCCCACGAAGTCCTCAGAAGGAGGACAGCGTCAAAAACAAGATTACGACAATTTGGTGGAAAAATTGAGTGAGCTAGAGGGAATACTGGAAGCTGTGGTAGAAATTGAGGATTTTGACGAGGCTGATATCCTTTTATGACCAAACTAATTTTACTTATTCAATAACTTAATAGCTGTGCTACGCATCATAACCTGAGGCTTAACTTGTCAGCCAGCACGGAGAAAAATGAAACTCGTGTAACACGCGGTAAAACTTGACAACCACTTTTAAGATCGTTACATGTAGTATGTCGTGTGAAGTATAAAAAAAAAAAA